CTGTCTCGCGTGCCTGCTGCCCCCGTGTCTTCCACCTCCCACTTCCGCCACCGCAGGACAGCACGGCACGCCAGATGCCGGCGCCACGCCCTTGGACCTCCCAGCCTCCAGAACCACGAACATGCATCTCCTCCCGTGTCCCGCAGCGCCCAGCATGTGGCCTGATAAAAGGAGGCACGTGAAATTATTTGGCAAATGACCCGATGAAAAGACAGGGCTGCACGGTGACCGCAGAGAGGGCCAGCAGAGGGTCCCACAACAGCCATACGTCTGGCTCCTGTCCACGGAGCACGCGCGTGTGCTCAGTGCTCTGCTGAGACCCTTCAAGGCATGATCTCATGTAACCTTTGCAACCACCCCGTGAGGCAAGTGCTACTGGGACCCCCTTTGCCAAAGGGAGAAACAGAAGCTCAGAGAGAGAGCTGTGATTTGCACAAGCACAGAGCTAAACAGGGGGGTGCCGGGAACAGCCCCCCAAGTCTCTTTAACTCCAGCAGACACGTAGGAACCATGGGGCCCCGCCACCAGCTCTGCCTCGCAGGGCCGGGAACTGGGCAGGAAAGGCTCCTCTGGGGCTGAGCTGGAGAGCCCACTGCCTGAGACGCACCAGCTTGGCCGCCTTCGATCCTCAGCCCTGCCGATGACTCCCTTGACCGAGGGCAGTCCCCGTGCCCCTCTCCAGCCACCTCTGGCTCTCCGACCTTCGCCCCTGACCGACGAAGACACACTGCCGTCCACATTTGGTGCCTCCCCTCTTCCTCCCCCCGGGGTGAATTCACAGAGGAAATCTGAAAATAAAATCCAGGCTGCCTGGTAGAAAGGAGACTTGGGTTTTGCCAACACAATGTGCAGTAAAAATATCTCTCTTTTAAAAGGGAGAGAGAAAAATTTAAAGACTTGGGATCAGTAACATGTAATTATCATCTGGTTTGGGCGGAGAGTTCTAATAGTTTCCAGAAAAACACGAGCCATGAAAAAGGAGTCTGCTTCCCAAGGCACAAGGAGGCCTGGGCCCCGGCGGGCAGGGCGCCATCTTGGCAGTCTCACGGCCAGCCCCTCCCCAGGCGGGTGAGGGCGCTCGGCTTCCCTGCCTCGCTTCCCTCCCCTTTGTCCTGCCACTCCGGCCAGCCGGAGGCTCTGGGAATGCAGACGCTGCCTTGGGACTCAGCCTCGTGGGGCGGAGCACAGTCATTGTCACTGCTGAACAAACAGGTGCCAGTGCACAGGCGCCCGAAGGGTCTTTGCCCAGGAGGGTCCCTTGCTCCGGCCCTGGGGGACAAGAGAGCCTCAGGCTGGCAGGGATAGCTAGGTCTCTGCCAATATCTGCGGTGCCCAATTTTGAAGTAACAGAGCCCCAGTTTTAGCGGGGCCCACGGTGGCCTATGACACAGACCGCCTTTCCAAGCCTCCTTTGCAGGCAGGGCCACGGGCCCACGCTCTGAGCAATGGGACGTTGGCGGAGTGCATGTGCATCTTGCAAGATGTATTCCTAGAGCAGGGATATCTACCTTTCCTCCTTTTGCTGCTTCCTGGGGGAAAGAATGCAGATGTGATGTCTGGAGCTCGAGCGGCCACCCTAAACATGAGCAAAACTGGCAAGAGTCCACAGACGGCAGAGCAACAAGGTGGAAGGAGCCTGGGTCGCCAGCACCAGACCTGGACTGCCCGCCAGACTGCCACGGGAGAAAGAATGGCACGCCTGTATTGTTCAAGCCACTGACGTTTGGGCTTAGCGACAATACCTACAGTCAAAATTGGCTTAGAAATCTGTTAAATTAAGAGGAAGATAATATATAGTATATAAAGATAATCCAAGTCTTTGAAAGCGAGAATCGCGCTCAGCGCGGTGAGATGCTCACCGCGGGTTTCTGGCTTCACGTCCAGATGGGCCGCCGAACTCGAGGAAAGGCGGAGCCCACCCGTATTCAGTTGTTTTCTCTTTCTCGTTCTCTCTTGCTCCTTTCGCTTTTCTCCTAGTGCCTGAAGTTATATTGTGGAGACACGTCACATCGTATTTTCTACCTTGTGCAAAGTTTGTGAGCATGCACTAAGTGTCAGATAGCAATGCTTTTCCATATTTATTATCTCTGTTTTATAAAGAAACTGAGGCTCAGAGAGGTAGAGACACAAAGCCGAGGATGAACAGGTCGCAGCTTGAAGAGGACAAGACAGAGCCCGTGTCCGGGCGACCTCCCAGGGTGCTCCCCTGGGACAGTGCTCCTGCTGCAGACTCCTAGGAATGACTAGAGGCAGTGCAGGGGCTTCCTGTGTCTTCAGGATGGGGGGACGGGGACTGGAAGGGGTCACCCAAACACTGTGCAGGGGCGCTGGCCTCACCACTGCGACGTGAGTGTCTTTCTAGAAGCAAAGCCTAAGTCCCTCAGCCTGACCTGCGAGCCCATCAGGGCCCGGGGGCAAGGCCTGGGCCTGGGGCCTCCACACTAGGAGGCCAGCGGCATGTGGGGGCCCAGCCAGGGACCGGCAGCCAAGGCCAGGGAGGAAGAGGAGGGGCTGGGGGAGGGGTGGAGTTAGATGGAGACAGGCTCCCTGGCGGGGGACGGCTGGCTGGCTGCAGGAAGGACAACACGGAGAGGCCAGGTTGGATGAGGATGGAGAGCTGACATTGAGGTTCGGCCAGAGAACCAGCTGGGATCTGCCTCCCTCTGGGAAGATGAGAAAAGGAACAATGTAAGGACAGAAAGAGGGGGGAAAATAAAGGATGATGAAGGAGGACGAGTTGGGGTGGGTGGGCTGGGCATGTCTTGGAGCCCTGAGCCCTCCCAGTCTGCAGCCCACCCATGGGTGGGTGCGGGAGCCCCCCAGGTCCCAGGGCCAGCCCCAGCTCGGTGTCCCAGCGCCTGCGGGGCTCAGCTTTCGGGGAGCCCCTCTGGAGGATGCCCCTGTCACCTCCCTGCCACTCCCAGAGACCTGGCACTACAGGGCAATATTGTTATTTCACACGGAGATGAATGTTTCTTCGGGTTTAGAATAAGGGCACCCTCATGCTTTGCTGTTTTATGACGTGCCCCACATACCGGCTCTGCACGGGGAAGCTGAAGGAATCATGTGGGACCCAACACATCCCGACCCCCCAGCGCCACCCAGAGCCCCGACTCACTGGGTCTGGACGTGGCCAAACCCCTAACGTGCAGCCAGAGCTCGCTCTGCGAAGAGACCCTCGCTTCGGGACAAAGCCCGAGGTGCCATTTCTGTGCCTAAGCCCCACCTGTGCAGAAACGCCAGGGCAAAGGGGTCCGCCAGGAGCGAGGACGTCGGCAAACCCTCCCAGCCCTCTGCCTCTGGGACCCGGCTCACGAGCTCCGGACCCCAAGTTCAAGGACTTCCGGGCTGAGTTCTCGACCCCCTTGGCCATGGCCTGGCACAAGGCCATTCACCTCTGTGGGCCTCAGTTTCCCCTCTGTAATCAGGAAGAGCACAGTGGCTCTGAACTGTTTGGGGTCACCGGCCCGAGTGAGAATTTAGAAGGAGGATGGCTCCTTTCTCCAGAAGCGTGTGGGGGCTGCTCCGCCGCGCTCGGGGCTAGGGGTCCCTGAGGGTCTGGCCACATGACTCAGCTGGACCTTGCACTTTAGTCCTCACCACGACCAGATACTTTGATTAACCCCATTTTACACACGAGGAAACTGAGGCACTGAGAGGTTAAATAGCTTGCCCCGGGCCATGCGGCTGGTAAGTGGTGGGGGCTGGGTTTGAACCCAAGCACCCCGTCCCGTCCGGGGCTCACAATCTCTAACCACAAAGCAGCAGCGGTTCCCAGCTGCCCACCGCGGGCATTTCTGCGAAGGGCGCGCGGGAAGCAGCTTTCTGACCTACGGCTCTGAACGTGCAGAGCGAGATCCACGGCGAGGCTGGGAATCGGGCGCGCTCTGTGGCTGGGGGTGCCTCCCCCGCGGCTCCCAGATGTTACAGGTCAGGAAACACGGCTGGGAAACAGACAGGACTGGCTCTGCCACTGACTCCCCGTGTGGCCCTGGACAAGCCACTCTAGCCTCAGTTTCCCCTCGGGGAAAGAGGACGGCACCAGCCCCTCCCCTGCAGCCGACCTGGGGGCGCACGGGGGCTGGGAAAGCAGGGAGCGGGCACTCGCTGAGCAGAGTCATCGGACGCACCCGGAAACAACGGCAGGACACCCACCCCCCACTGGGCGGGCCTTTGGGTGGGGTCCGCGTGGCCGCACTGGGAGCCGGGGGGGTGGGGGAAGCCCCTGCCCCGAGACCTCTTCCGAGGACGCTCTGGTCCCTTCCTTCCTGCCACCACCCAGCCAGGCACGTCTGCATGCTGCTCGTCAACTCTGCTTTCAATTTTGTTTCTGCCGAAACCCTCGCACAGGAGTTTCGCTTTCTTTCTCTCCAGGAGGCCGGTGTGCCCGGCTGACCGGGCGCTGGTTTCCGGGTGGAAGCAGCTGACACCTGCCGGGCTGAAGCCGGCAGCCCCTGTGCTGTGGATTCAGAGCTTCCAGGAGCGCCCGCTGGGCCACGTAAGGACACTCGGCCTCGGCCCAGCCGCTCGCTCGAGACCGTGCGGGAGCCGGCGCTGCCCCGAGTCTGCCGGGCTCCCACAGCTGCTCCGGCATGGCCAGGGCGCCTGCCGCCCCGGGTGAAGGAGGTACGGTCCCTCTCCCTTCCAGGAACGGCTACTTCCCTCCCGGGCAGGGCTTCTGCTGCTCTCCGGCTCTTTCCTCCGCCCGGATGACAGCAGCCAGCGGCGATGGCAGCAGTGCCCCGAGGAAGAGCAGCTGTAACGGGCAGGAGGGGATGGCAAAGCCACCCTGGGCTTTTTGTTTTTGTTTTATGACACAGTTCCACTCTGTTGCCCAGGCTGGAGTGCAGTGGCCTCATCATAGCTCGCGGCAACCTCAAACTCCTGGGCTCAAGCAATCCTCCTGCCTCAGCCTCCCAAGGAGCTGGGACTACAAGCACACGCCACCATGCCCGGCTGGTTTTTTTCTGTTTTTTGTAGAGCCAGGATCTCACTATGTTGCCCAGGCTTGTCTTGAGCTCCTGGCCTCAAGCTATCCTCCCTGCTCAGACTCCCAAAGTGCTAGGATTATAGCCCTGAGCCACAGCACCCACCACCGTCCTGTTTTGAAGGCTAACCATTCCCTGGGCACCTGGAAACTTGCTTCTCATGCATTTCACGATGGCCCGTGGGGACAAGTGCAACGATGTCCCCATTTCATAGATGAGATAACTAAGGCCCTGAGAGGTGAAATGACTCTCTCAGGGTACCACAGCTGCCTGGCATTTGTGCCAGGGTCTGAACATGATCTTGTAGTCATTTTGAGAAAGGAAGCAAGTTGCTTTGGTAACATATGCATGTGCCTATCCCCACCCCCCGCCCCTGTCGTGTTATTTCCTCAATTAATGTCTCCCTCCTGGAGGAGCTGCGCCAAGGCTGACCGGCTGCTGAGCAGCTGCTGTTCTCTAGGGGCTCCGCTAGGTGCTTGTGAGTTGTGAGCAGAGGGTGGTTTTGTGGTTTTTTTGGTTTTCTGCCTTGTCTATTTTTAACCTTCACCGCAATCTTTAAGCAGCTACCGTTATCCCCACTTCGCAGATGGGGAAACTGAGACACAGAGAGGTCACGTAGCTAGTGATCTGCAGAGCTGGGGCTCAGACCCAGGAGGCCGCCATTAGAGAACGGGAAAGAGGCCAGGCGAGTGCACCCACGGGGGTGACGTCAGCACGTGGCCCAGAAGCCCTGGCTGGCGGCCAGGTTCCTGTGACACTTCCTCCACGGGGTGGACACACGGCCCTGGTCAGAGGGCCTCAGTGACCGGCTCTAACTGGCTTTTCCTGCCTTACTCCCTGGCTGATTTTACTCTGTGACCCACTGGTCAGCCACACCTGCTTTGTTCCATGACTTCTGTTTTCAGACGTGGTAGCCGGGGGCTCGGGGACTCGGGGGCCAGGGCAGCCCGCCCCTCGGGCTAGCCCTCCACCCACATCTCTGACTCCCCTCTCCTTTGGGGCCGGCAGGGCGGGGCTCCCTGTGGGGCAGACTGTTCGGAATCACAACTCTGTGGGAGGAGGGGGAGAGGCCAGGTGCGAGGCAGCCGGGCGGGGCCACAGCCGCAGGGCAGGTTGGCGGTGCGGCTGGCGCTGCCAGGTCCTGTAACTGCTCTTCGCCCGCGCCCGCACCCGCAAGTGCTCCAGCCGTGCGTGCGCCAGGGCTGCCAGGGCTGCCAGCCCCGGCCGCGCATCACAAACCAGCCGTCCACTCCCCCACGAACCCAGACGCCCAGAGAACCTCTGATCGGGAAGGAAGCCCAGACGGCAGAGACTGGGTCACTGTCCCGGAAGGTGACCCAGGTTTTCCTGGAAAGGCCCGCTGGGCACCCCCTCGGGGTTCTTGGCAGCAGAGTCTTGCTGGTGACAGGCTGGGCCACCTCTCCCCGGGCGCTGACTCCCAGCTGCCGCCTCTACCCTGTGCCCGCCCCTCCTCACCTCCTGGCACAGAAGCTGGTTTCCAATTTTTTTAAAATTATGTGACGTGATGGTTTTGATTCTTGAGAGCTTCCCCGGGAGGCCCGGTGGCCATTTGGAGCGTTCTTCCTCGAATTTCACGGGGTCCCACCAGGGGCTCCTGCAACTCAGACCAGGAAACAGACGCACATGCCGACCGGCCAAGGAGGGGCTGTGCCCCGCCCAGGTCAACTGGGCAGACCTCTGTCCCAGCAGAGGACAAAGCCACCCATTCATTCATTCAGCCAGTCACTCATTCAACTGCCATTCCCTGAGCACCTACTGTGTGCCTGGCACTGTGCTAGGCACTGAAGGTGTGACAGTGAATGAGGCAAGCACAGCAGGGGATCCTTGGGGACATTCTGCGGGGGAACCCCACACTAGCAGCATCCTGCCCACTCTAGGACCTGGAGGACAGCTTCCCAAAGGAGATGGTGTCTGAGCGAGACCTGGAGGTTGAGTAGACGTTGGACAGGTGGGGCGGGGGGAAGAGTGTTTCTGACAGAGGGAACAGCATGTGCAAGGGCCCTGGGGTGAGCGGGACCAAAGGGAACACGGATGGGCTGGCACTTAGGGAAGCTGGGGTGGGTGGAGACGAGGCCGGGTGGTCACATAGCCGGGTCTGCCGCTGAGCGCAGGGCTCCCTGGAGGGAACCCGACTGGAGCTGGGGCTGGTCGCTGCCATCCGGGAGATGGTGAGCGGAAGGGGTGGTGGGCAGAGAAGAGGGCAGTGCAGGGTACAGAGAGATCCAGGAATGGTTTTCCAGGACTCCAGGATCGGGCATCGGGGAAAGACCTGTTTCTGGATGTCTGTCAGGTCCTGGCTTGGACAAACGGCGACCCCACCGGGCTAGAGGCAGGAGGGCGGGTGGGCAGATTCCCGGGGCGGGGGGATGGGAGGACACAGGGCAGGCGTCCCGCAGGACCTGGCCTTGCTCTCCCGGCCTCTCTCCATCGTCCTGCTCCGTCCTTCCACCCGCTACTCCACCTCCCTCCCATTCCCACACCGGGAGGCTCGCCAGGCCCAGCACCTCCTCTGGCCGCCAGCCTGTCAGCCAGGGTCCCTCCCGCCTACCCAGACGCCCCTCTCTGCTGCTGCTGCCGGCGTCCGCTCCGGACTTTGCCCGCCTCCTCTGCCTTCCACAGCCTCCAGCCCAGGCTCCACCTTGGGGGCCCTGGAGCCCCAATTCCTCCCTCTGCCCCCTCTCCCTGTCCCAGGCCACCTTGAACAGAAGATCCTGCAGGTGCTACGGGAAGCCGGGTCCCCTGTGAAGGCCGCCCAGCTGGTGAAGAAATGCCAAGTGTCCAAGAAGGAGCTCAACCAAGTCCTCTACCGAATGAAGAGCGAGTCGAAAGTCTCCCTGGCGGGCCCTGCCACGTGGCGCTTGGAAGAGGCTGGGGCTGCAGACACGGCCCTTGCACTGCTGGCCCCGCCATCCCAGGGTAGGTCTGCCCCAGCAGGAGCCATCCTGGCCGGGGACACGCCCAGAGGGGAGCTTGGGTCTGCCACTTGGGGACACATGATGCCTCCTCGCTGGGCCTTGGTCTCTTTTTCTGGCTAACGGGGATGGCGACAGGGCTACTTTGAGGGGCTTGCTGAGACGGTGGCTGCACAGGGCTCTGCCCAGCGCACACGGCACGTAGTAGGCGCTCAGCAAACACTAATGACAGAAAATGATGATGACGATGATAGAACACACTTAGTGTCCCGCTAGGCCCCTGTTCCAGTCTTAGAGCCCACAGAAAGAGCTGACACTTACCCAGTACTTAAGGGGGCGGGGTGCTGAACCCGGGCCCACCCGACCCTCACACAAGCCCGGGAGGCAGGGGGTGCCGTCCCCCCTCTTTCTACAGAAAACACAATTGAGCCCAGAGAAGGCGATTGACGGGAAGCCGCACAGCAGGAGGGAGCAGAGCGGGATTTGAAGACCCCTGTTCAGCTCTGGCGTCTGCACCGGGGCCACCACTGCCCCGCAGAGGCCGGGGGCCACCTCCTGTTCCCCACCCCGACCCGCCTTTCTTCCTCCAGCCAAGAGCCCCCCGGAAGGCGCAGCTGGAGTTCCGAAGAAGCCTGGCCCTCAGCTCAGTGACCAACGTAAGCGCCTCCTTCCACTCAGCATCCCCACCGCCCCCGACCCTCCCCGAGGGTGAGAGACGGCACAAGTGTCCGGGGGCCGTGGCTCCCACCCAGAGGCTCCTGCACAGTGTTGAGAGCCAGACTCCGTCCTCACAGGGGAGGAATCTAAATGGCTGAGAGATTATTTCTCCGCTCAATGGTTGGCCCTCGAGGGACACCTACCTCGTGCCAGGCACATGCAGAGCACCTGTGCTCATTTCTGGTCCCTGTTACCCTTGTTATCATTACGCCCATTTCTCAGAGGAGGAGACTGAGCCTAGAGGGGCTGGGTAGCTGTCCGTGGAGGGGCAGATTCCAGCTCTGGGGTCCTCCTTAACCCCCTGACCGCCCTGCCCTCCAGAGGAAGAGATCTACAGGTTCCTGGAAGACGAGGGACCCCACAATGCCCTGGGCATCGCCCAGGCCCTGGGCCTGAGGACCGCAAAAGATGTCAACCCAGACTTGTACAAGATGAAGAGCAAGCACCTTCTGGACTTCAACGAGAAGTTAAAATTGTGGGCGATTTATCGACCAGGTAGGCCCTTCCCTGCTGCCCGCACCTGGGCCAGGGCAGCATGGCCGAGCTGCAAAGAGAACTCTGCTAAGCCTGCTCCACCTCGTGAGAACCTACCAGAAGCTTGCGGGGGCGTGGTCCTGCTGACGGTTCACTGGGGGGGGGGGCGCGTCTGGGAGGGAAGGGCATGGCGGGATTAACCAGGGACGGCAGTTGCAGAAAGCAAGGGGCCGGGAGGGAGGGAGGGCCTGCTGCACGTTTCCTCGGCTCTGGGGTGCGGGGCTCAGTCCGTAGCGGTTTTCTGCGAGCACTTTGCCTGACTTGGGGCTTGGCGGTCAGCGGAAGAGCCGGCCAGGCTGGGCTCAGTCCCCGACGGGTGGAGCCCGGGGCTGGCTTATCCGCTAGGGCAGCAGGCACAGGCCCCAAGCCCACGGCACTGCTTGAATTTTCATTTCTTCTAAAATCAGAAGAAGAGATGGATATCATAAACATGATGAATGTCTACAAACAAATCCAGCCTGGATTATGTCTGTCATTGTGCCAATGTGGTCAGAAGATGTCATGTAAAAGACTTTTTAGGGAGGACGGGGCCCACTCGGGGAGTTGGGCAGGGGCCTGTCTCGGCCCACACTGGGCGGGCTCTCCCCTCACAGTGCCAGGGGGCTCGGCATTGTATGGTCACTGCAAGGAAGTAATAATGGGTGACAGCGGCCAGATTTTAAAGACTGGTGACAAATTCAAATCCTTACAAGTGTCTCGTGAGCCCCCCACAGCTCTTCAGGCCATTGCTCAAGGGGGAAGGGGCCGGTGCCCCCGGGTCAGGGCAGTGGCTGCCCCCAGGGAGAGGGCCGGCAGGTGGGGAGAGCTGTGTGGGGCCCTGTAGGCCCCCAGCAAGCCCTCATGGTGGCCTGGCCCTGGGGCAGAGGAGGACACACAGGCAGGGGACTTGCCGTGGTCATTTCCAGGCAAGGCTCCATCCGGGACACCTGTGGTGTCAAACAGACCGGTTCTTGGGTCCCACCTGGGAGCTACCACCTCCCAGCCCCTGGGAGGGGCACCTGGGAATCTGTGTTTTCACAAGCTTCCGGAGAGAACTGGGCACTGCCGACTGGTATTTGCAACCCCTGACCCTTAGAGAGGTGCAAAGGGATAGCATGGAATATTAATTTGCAGAAGATTCTGGAAGAAGAAATCAGCTCACTGCAAGAGACTCTGGAGGGAGAAATCAGTCCACTGCAATCATGAAGCAGCAAAGCCCGGTCATCATGATCCACCAGCACGGGATGAACAGCCACATTTCCATTGCGAACTCCCACAACACTCAGATCGGATATGGGAACGTCATAACAGGAGGGGTTGCCCCCGGGGAAAGCGGTAAGTCGTCTGAGACACTCAGGACAGGGGACCCTCACAGGGCACCCACTCCACCTGGGGTGGGGGGGAACGGGCGGAGTCCACCTCCAAGGAGAGAGGACCACGTTCCAGCCCCCCCGGATCCTCCTTGATGGCCTCCCTGAGAATGAGGAAGCCTGGATCAAACCTCTCCTGATTTCCTTTCATCCTTTGGCCTCATTTTCAAGGGGATCTGATATTTTTCCATTGGAAATAACTGGATTCACTCTCCAGCAGCAGAGTGTCACAGGGGGCTTACTGCAGCATGTCATTTGTTCTGAGACGCATTACTTTCATCCACAAGTTAATAGGTTGGAAATTGGGGTGCATCTTACCACCCGGGGCCCCCTAGTTTTGATGAAATACAGTGCGGCACACTGGGCACTCCCTCCTGCCAGTCCCTCTGGCAAGAAGGGACCGGCCACCTATCAGTCCCGCCACGTCACCCATGAGTGACAGCATCCGCCCAAATGTTGGGTCACTTCCATAACATTGGGAGAGCTTTTCCCCACTCTGGGCCTCAGTTCCCCCAACTGTGAAATAAAGAACTTTGCTCTAGAATCCAGATCATCGCTCCCCCGATTTTAATCCTCTCAGCTTCCCCTTCCCAGTTTTGGCCACTCCCATGTCTAATTATGTAAATAATGTTATTAAATGGTTCACCCTTTTTTCTACTCAAATTTATTTTTTAAAATTTTTATAGCATTCGTTAGGTTGAAAACTATGAAGACCACCATAAAAATAAATGCTGTGAAAACAAAACACTGAAGGAGGCCCGAGCCTTTGGTGTCAGGCTAAAGATGTCGTAGCCCCAAAGGGGACTTTGGCCCGAGGAGGTCAGAAGGACTGAGAATGACTGAGAGTCAGGACAATGTGCTCATTGTTTAGGCCTGCAGGTGTCCTAGCAGCACCCTGGCACCAGCACAGTCGTGACAAACTGGGGACCCCAAGACGAGGTGTTCTGCCGGGTCCTCCTGCTCCCCCTTCAGGGCCTGAAATGACTGGCTCCCAGTCTGATGGTGTCTAGGAGGGGTTCAGAGGCCTGTCCCTCTGTCCAGGCAGGACTTTGCCCGTTGGGATGTGTGTGCAGGTGTGTGTGCATATATGTGTGTGAATGTGCGCATGCGCATATGTGTGCACGTGTGCATGTGTATGTGTGTGCGCATGCGTGTGCATATGTGTATGCGTGTGTGCACATGTGTGTGCATATATGTGTATGAATGTGCACATATGTGTGCATGTGTGTGTGTGTGTGTGTGTGTGTGTTGGCTGGTGAAGGATGGGGGTGGGGGTCAGAGGTGGAGGAGGAAGCCTAGAGTCACCCCCAGCAAGGTGGTGCTGTGTTCCCCCGCCAGGTTCCACGGCTCCCCGATACCTCCCTCCAGCGGCGCCAGGTGACTCCTCGGCTCTCGGTGCCTGGGCGCCCCAGGACATCCACATGGAGCGGTCCGTGCTCAGACAGGTGCAGCTGGGACACGACAACGAGCTGCACGTCCACAGCACCCCGTCCGAGGGCTCCAACCACATCCCCTCAGGCAGCCCTCCAGGTAACTGGGGCCTGGTGGCCAGACCCCCACCCCCGCCCCATTCTGCTCCCCTCTGGGAGGAACTGGTGCAGTCTGAGGGGAGAGGGGCATGATGGGAAATTCCTTTCCTTCCACCGGGAGTCTGGACCACAGAGTAGAACAGGTGTGGCTTTTGCAGCTAGCACTCTGGATGCCCACCCCCACCACCAGCACAGGAAACCTCAGTTTCCTCATCTGTAAAGTGGGCAGACCTCCCTCGGGAAGCAGAGGCTGGGCCCTCTGACACAGGGACAAAGGCGATGGCTTGACACTGGAACGGTGCCTAAGGAGGAGGGAGGACAGGTGCCCTACTACGCGCTGCGGCCACACAGTGACCAAAGGCGTGGGCGGGCCTTCCTGCACTGGTAACCCAGAGGCTGGAGAGGAGGGAGGAAGCAGGGACCCTTGGCGAGGAGTCTCCAGAGGGGGGCAGTGAGCGTCGGGAGGGTCCAGGTTCGGCAGCAAGGGCTGGTGTGCCCCTGGGGGGAGGGGCGGGAGGAGCTGAGCAGTGGGGGCAGGTGAGACTGAGTGTGGACGTCTCCCGTCGGGAGCTTGGGTGGGAAAGGAAGGAGCCCGATGGCAGGGCTGGGCCCGTGAGAAGTTCACCAGAGGTGGGAGTGCCCGAGTCCCAGAGGAGGACACTGAGGCCAGGTCGGCTGGGCTGGGCTCGGGGCAGACCCTGCCTGCGGAGAGAGACGGCGCCCCGGGCAGGAGCACACCTGGCAAAGGTGTGGCAGCGGGGTGGCCAGGCCAAGGCTGCCAGCTGAGTCGGCGGGCCCTGGGAGGGAGGTGTGGGGACCAGTCAGCCATGGGGGACCTGAGCCAGGTAGGGTTCAGGGCTCAGGGCCATCGTCCCACAGCCACACCTGTCTGTCTGTGACCCACAGTCTCTGCCACCACCGAGGGCCTGGGAGCTTCATTTGAAGCGCAAATGCCCAGCCCAGGACCTCACGCCCCCGAGGGGGAGGCGGCCCAGAGAGTCCACATCAGGTCCTGCTTCCTCGAGGCCGCTGCCATCGGCAACAGCAACAGAATGACCGTCAGCCTAGTGGCGGGGGCCAGAGATGGGGAGCCGGAGGAGGACGCAGGTGAGCCGGAGGAGGACGCAGGTGAGCCTGGCCCCGTGGTTCTCTCCACCCCACGCCACGCGTTCACACATTCGTTCACAGCCATTCACTCGCCACCTGTTTCCGGAGTCGGTGGCGATACAGGGCAGGAGCTCTGGAGTTGTGCATGGGGTCACGCCCTGCTAGCGAGGGACTTAACCCAGGTCGTTTAACTCCGAGCCTCTGCTTCCTTACCTGTAAACCGGGCCTGGCGAGAACAGCCTGCAGCACCTCTTCTGGTTGTCGCTAGGATTGCGTAAAACACGCAGGCAAAGCGCGCGGCACTGCACCGGCCCTGCGTGCATTCAGGCAGCGGAAGGATGATGATCATCATCATTATTATTTTAGGCCTAGAGAGAGGCTCTGGGACGCCGCAGGAATGGGCTCTACCCCAGGGAGCACACCAGCCGGCCTCGAAAGCAGGATGCAAACACAGTGGCTCCCGCGTCTGTGCCCGGGAGCAGTCCAGGCTGCCCCTTGAGGTCACCCACAACAGGGTTCCTTCCACCCGGTGCCAGCTGTCCCTAGCGCTCTGTCCCTGTCTGTGGGGTTGAGCTAGGCACCAGCAAGGACAGGGAAGAGCAGACTCAGAACATCAGCGTTGCCTTTGACCAAACACACCCACGACTGCTCAGTCCAGGCCCGGCACCTGGCCGCCAGGGGCCTGGGGAATGTCACCTGTGTCAGGGCACTCTGAGCCCAGCTCAGACACAGGGGAGGGGAGGGGACTCTGCTGCCGAGAGGAAGAGAGTGGGAACGGACACCAGCTCAGTTAGCAGTCCCAGCCCCGCAGGGCCAGGCCACGGCGGCTCTGCAGCAGGAAGCAGGGCAGCCTGGTGTGGGCACAGGTGGCCCGTGGAGGTGGCTGAGCGTGGCGAGCAGGCGCAGAGCCTGGCGGCAGTGAGAACGCTAGAGTTGATTCTAAGGCATCAGGAGGCACGAGGGGCCCGAGCAGGCGAGGGCCGGGATGCGCTTTCTGCCTTCGGTGTGAGGAAGGGATTAGAAGGAGCCTTTCAGCTCCTGGACTTCGGAGACTTGGAATAGGGGGTCACGACCCATCCCACCAGTGGTTAGGAAGCCCAGGTGGGCTGGCAGAGTCTCGTGCACTGGCCAGAATTGGGTGGATTGTCCTGGCTGTCGGGAGGGTCTCCTCACCCCGATGGCCCAGCCCAGCACAGCGAGGAGACCCAGGCCCACTCCGGCCTTCAAACTCCCCCTCCGGGACCCACAGCGTGGGCGGTGTGCGGAGCCCTGTGGGGCTCACCCAGACCAGCAAAGGCTCTCCTTTCTGGAAAGAAACACAACCCTGGTTTCGAACAATGCCCCAAAGTGCCCTGCCGTTCCCCGAGGTTCCTGCAGGGGAGCTGATGAGGGCTTAGTGGCCCTCACCCTGCCCACCCGCCTCGCTCTGTTCACGGCCTTTTCACCGGGAGTGGATTTGATCTCAAGAAACTACCTTCTTTGCTTATCCACGAGAAGCAACTTCTAATCTGTCCAAGTCTTATCACGGGGTTGCAACAGTATAGTCACATCTTCAGGCTCCACTTCTAACTCCAGTTCTCTTGCTATTTCCACCACACCTGCAGTGACTGACTTCCACTGAAGTCTTGAACCCCTCAAAGTCATCCACGAGGGTTGGAATCAGCTTCTTCCAAACTCCTGTTAACGTTGATTGATATTCCCCCCCATGAATCACAGATGTTGTTAATGGCATCTAGAGTGGTGGATCCTTTCCAGAAGGTTTTCAATTTACTTCGCCCCAATCCATCAGAGAAATCACTATCTATGGCAGCTGTAGCAGCTAAGGAAATGTATTTCTGAAATAATAACACTCGAAAGTTGAAATTACTCTTTGATCCACGGGCTGCAGAATGGATGCCGCATCAGCAGGCAAGAAAATGGCATTTGTCTCCTTGTACATCTCCAAGGAAGCTCTTGGGTTACCAGGTGCATTGTCAAAGAGCAGTAATCTTTTGAAAGGAATCTTTTTTTCCTGGGCAGTAGGTCTCAACAGTGGTCTTAAAATATTCGATAAACCATACTGTAAAAAGATATGCTATCATCCAGGCCTTGCTATTCCTTTTATAGAGCACAGGCGGAGTAGATTTAGCATAATTCTTAAAGGCCCTGGGATTTTCAGAATGGTCAATGAACTTTGGCGTTAACTTAAAGCCACCAGCTGCATTAGCACCTAATAAGAGAGTCAGTCTGTCCTTTGAAGCTTTGAAGCCAGGCATTGACTTCTCCTCTCTAGCTATGGAAGTCCTAGATGGCATCTTCTCCCAACAGAAGGCTGTTGTCTCTACATGGAAAATCTGTTGTTTAGTGTAGCCACCTTCATCAATGATCTTAGCTAGATCTGGGTAACTTGCTGCAGCTTTTATATCAGCACTTGCTGCGTCACCTTGCACTTGTAGGTTGTGGAGACGGCTTCTCTCCTTAAACCTCATGACCCAACCTCTGCTGGCTTCCAACTTTCCTTCTGCAGCTTCCTTGGCTCTCTCTGCCTTCACAGAGCTGGCGAGAGTCAGGGCCTTGCTCTGGATTAGGCTTCGGCTTAAGGGAATGTTGTAGCTGGTTGGACCTTCTATCCAGACCACTAAAACTGTTTCCATATAAGCAAGAGGCTGTTTTGCTTTCTTATTCTTCTGCTCGCTGGAGTAGCACTTTTAATTTCCTTCTAGGACTCTTCCTTTGCATTCACAACTTAGGTAACCGTTTGGGGCAGGAGGCCCGGCTTTCAGCCCATCTCAGCTTCCGGCCTGCCTTCCTCACTAAGCGTGATCATTTCTAGCTTTTGAATTAAAGTAAGAGCTGCACACCTCTTCCTTCCACTTCAACATGTAGAGGCCACTGCAGGGTTATTAGCTGGCCTGATTTAGCTACTTCTGGGTCAGGGAATGGGGAGGCCCGAGGAGAGGGAGGCAGATGGGGGCGTGGCTGTCACTGGAGCTGCCGGGACACACACAACAGTTGTTGGCTGGCTTTGCTTCCTTCTACAACACAGCTCATGGCACCGCAAAATAACAATAGTGAGATCAAAGATCACCGACCACAGGTCACCAAAACGGACATATTGTGACAGTGACCAAAATGTGACACAGAGACGTGAAATGAGCACATGCTCTTGGAGAAATGGCGCTGACAGACTCGCTCAAGGCAGGGTTGCCGCAAACCTTCCGTTTGTAAAAAACACGGTGTCTGGGAAGCTCAGTAGCATGAGCGTGCCCGCAGCTCCCTCCCGGGTGCGGGCAGGCCCTCATCCTGAGAAGTGCGGCTGGGGTGTCCTGTCGTGTGGTGTCGTGTGTGGGCGTTGGCCAATCAGAGACTGTCAGTGCTAGAGAGAGCTGGGCCATCTTTGAGGCCCCGGGGGCATGGGGGAGCCCTGGGACGGGGGCTCCTCCCTGTCACTGCGGTGAGACTTGCACAGGACTGGCCAGAGACCCAGAGGGCCCAGGGCAAAACCCAAGGGCAGGGCGCCCTGCTCGAGACTCAGCAAGAATTTTAAGGCGACAACAGCAAAGCATTAAACTGGGCTCGGGTCCCTCCGAGGGCGGGTCCCTGTGGGTTGTCCCAGATTCCGGGCCGTGGAGCTGACCTCCGTGCTCTCTTCCCGCAGAGCCTGCTCCCGAAGCCTCACCCTCCGGGAGTGCTTTCCGTGGAGACGCGGGGCAGGCCGGCCCTGGCGTCGTCTCGACGATCACCCCACGGCTGGAAGCTGTGACCCTCGGAAACAGAGACCCTGAACCCGCAGAACGCAGTTGCCGGGTGGCGGAACCCCGGGCTGGGGGAGCCAGGGAGGGGACGGGGCTTACGGCAGACGGCCTGGGGCCGGACTCGCTCAGGAAGAGGCCAGGCCCCGGCGAAGGCAGGGCACCCTGGCCCGGTGCGCTCTGATTCCGGGCGGCTCTGGGGCCTGCTTGCTTCCCGACCTCAGCCAGCAGGAGTGGCTTTCAGGGCCGGGCCTGCGTGGGCTGGGCTCAGGCCCGGACTCCTGGTGACCGGGCACGGACCTACAGGGGCCGCCTTGGGGGACACTTGGTGTGCGGAGAGGAGGTGGCCAGGCAGCAGTGGCCTCTCTCTCCTGCCCGGGCCCGGGTCCCTGCCCTGAGCTGCCTTCCACTGTGGCTCCCGCTGTGGTTTGAATGTTGGCGTCCCTACAGAACTCACGTTGCAACTGATCCGCAGTGCAGGGACGTTAAGAGGGGAGGAGATCTGGGAGGCGATGACGTCGGGAGGGCTCTGCTCTCAAGAATGCGGTGGGCGCGCTTACCAAAGGGCTGGGGGCCGGGGAGCCCCTTGCCCCGCCGCCCTGAGGACGCAGCAGCAAGGCGCCTTCTTTGAAGCTGGGGCCTGCTAGCGCCAAACATTCACGCTGCTGGCACCTGATCTTGGCCTTCGCAGCCTCCAAACTGTGAGCGGACGGTCCTGCGGTTTGTGAGTTACCAGGCGGGAGGCATCTCGCCACGGCAGCCTCAGCCGAGGACTCTGCCCGCTCTCCTCCGCGCTCCACGCCCGACTTCCCCAAGGCCCCTCAGGGCCTCCCCACCTCTTTACCACCTGGCCTTTCTAGAGTCTTCTCTCCACAGTCTTGTTCTCTCTCGGGATTTCTTAGCCCCGCTTCCAGAGAGCGAATTCCTCCCCCACCTCCAGGCCCTGCTGGAAGTCACGGGCGGGCCCACGGGTCAGGTGACCTCCCCTGGCCAATCAGCAGGGAGCACTTGCTCCAGCCCGGCAGCGATGCCTGTCCTGAGGCCCCCAGGAGGGGTGCGGGCTCCTCGATATTTCCAGAAGTAGGGGTGGGGGTGAGGGCCTGGGGCGCCTCGGGGAGGGTGAGGGGAGGAAGATGCAGAAGGATGGAGGAAGGTGGTGATCGCCAGGCAGGGCGGTCATGGAACAAGGACGGCCTCCTCCCTGCACACGTGCACACACACGTGCACACACGGACAGACATGCATACACATGCACACACACGCACGTGTGCACACACATGCACACACACAGGTGCACACACAGGCATGCACACACGCACACATGCACGTATGCACACACGTGCACACACACGCACACACACGCATGTGTGCACACACACAGGCACTCCGTCTGCTGGCCTCCCAATGCCACCCCCACTCCTCAGGTGGCCCTTCTCCCCCTCCCCGAGTCTCCTCCACGGACCCTGCGCCCGGGGGCTCACGTCCACCCCGGTGGACAGCGGCTGGCGGCTCATCGCTGGGCCTCAGCAATAAAGGTCGTGAAGCCACTTCATATCCCCTTTCCCAACGGGAGGGTCTCGAGGGCGGAGGCGGTGACATGCTGGTCACCTAGACCAGCACACAGAACTCACACCTCGTCCCTTAGCATTGGAACCCGGGCCTCAGTCACTGCTGACGCGGGGTCTATCCGTGCACGCATCCCTTGGAAGAGCTGACACATCCCCTGGGCACCAAAGCCAGCGCCCTGCGTTTGCCTTTCCCAGCGCAGCTCGCCCCTGGAGACCAGGGAGCGGGAGGAGGTGGGGTGGGGTGGGAATGGTGCTCCGGGCGGGGCACGGCCAGGGCGGAGGCATGAAGGTCAGGACAAGATGAGTCACGCGCAGAGCCACAGCAGTGTCCGTGCTACTGGAGGGCCCAGTGCAAGGAAAAGAGGCGGGGGTGGCTGGAGAGGGAAGTGGGCCAGACCAGGGGTCCAGCGCTGCACAAGCACCGCCCGCAGGGAGACCTGGACAGGCCCGTGCAACAAGGTACAGCCGTTGGAGTCATCATGGGGAAACGAGCCTTGTCCCAGGGGCTGGGGTTGCCCAGGACAACGGGAGCAAAGTTGTGTCCGCCACCATGCCGGCCTGCCTGGGGCCCCCAGATCATTTCCCAGGGGATATTCTGTTGAGTCACCAGGTCTGAGAGATTAAAATCGGGTTTGGCTCACTGGGCCTGTCTTCCTCCTGTGTCAGCTGCAAATCAGTTGCTTGCCTCAAAGTTTGCCCAAGGGCTATGGTTAACCAGGCCCCATGTCAGCGGGGAATCGAAAGGCAGCTCCCAGCTCCAGCCCAAACCAGAACAGTCATTTTCCCATCAAGATTTTCCCTGTGTAATTAATTTGTCATAAATACGCTGACAAAGCGTCCCTGGCAGTTAATGGGGGCTGGAGGTGAAGGTCAATGCTGGTCTCCTTGGGAAGGAAATTAACTAGCTACCATTAAAAGCAGAGAATGATTAAGTCCCACCATCCGCCAGCCCTCGCTCTCACCAGCCCACCCTCCCACGCGCCCCCTCCCGCAGTGGTGTGTGCAAACGAACTAGCGGCTCGCAGAGTTGGCTGCGGGGAGGAGGGATTCGCTCCATGAGTTGGAAATGATTTTCCCAACCACCGACCTGCTCACAGATGCAATTCTATGTTCTCATCCCAGCTGTGCTCCGCCTCTCTGGGTGAGCCCAGACAGGACTCCTCACTTGTGGAATTTAGCAGACAGCCAAAATTGGAGGCTTAGAGCAGGAAGAAGAGTCTAGGGAGTAACTCAGGAGCATTTCAGCTTTAAGTGACAGACACCCAGCCCACGCAGGCTTAAGCACAAAGGGGGGTTTATTTGCTCATGCAACTGGGAAATCAAGGGATACTTAGGTTCAGGAATGGCTGAATCCAGGGGCCTCAACTCTTATTTTCAAGCTTCTTTCTTTCCATCTCTCTGAAAAAACTCTCCCCACTGTGGCCCCAGCCACCCAGGGCTTATGATCGGCCAGTTTAGCAACTCTAAGCCAAATACTGCTGGTAGAATGTCCCGAGGAGGATTCTGATTGGCTGTTCATAGGTCACATGCCAATCCTTGAACCAATCAGGGAAAGTGAAGTGTTTTGATTGGTTGCTGTGGGATCAGATGTGCTCCCCCAGGCGTTGGGGGTGGGGGGGAAGATGACGTCATCCACGTGGGATGTGCTACCCAAGAAAGAGCGGTTCTGTTATCAGAAGAGGCAAAGGGATGCTGCACTAGCAAAAATCAGGTGTCTACTTCAAGAATAGGGTATGAGTGTTTCTTTGCAGAATTATCCAAACACAGAAGGACTTTCTGTAGGGAAGGAAAGAAAAATCCTTCATTTAAGGGACAGTTGTGAGGTCTGGCCCGGCATGGGAGGCTGGGTGAGTGTAGGAATGACATTTCAAGTGGAAAACATGAAACCAAGAAGATTTTTTAAAATACAGTCAATGCTCCACACCTGTGCATTCCAAGGATGGAAAGTATTTGGGGGGTGATTGCATCTGTGCTGCACGTATATAGACTAGTTTTTTTTTTGAGACAGAGTCTCGCTTTGTTGCCCAGGCTAGAGTGAGTGCCGTGGCATCAGCCTAGCTCACAGCAACCTCAAACTCCTGGGCTCAAGCCATCCTCCTGCCTCAGCCTCCCGAGTAGCTGAGACTACAGGCATACGCCCCCATGCCCGGCTAATTTTTTCTGTATGTGTTAGTTGGCTAATTAATTTCTTCCTATTTATAGTAGAGACGAGGTCTCGCTCTTGCTCAGACTGGTTTCAAACTCCTGACCTCGAGCAATTCGCCTGCCTTGGCCTCCCAGAGTGCTAGGATTACAGGTGTGAGCCACTTCGCCCAGCCTGTATAGACTTTTTTCTTCTTATTCCCTAAACAGTACAGCATAACAGTTATTTACATGGCATTTATCTTGTATTGGTATTTTAAGTAATCTAGAGATGGTTTAAAGTATATGGGAGGATGTGCATGGCTTATATGGAAATGCTGCACCATTTTGTATCAGGGACTTGAGCATACAGGGATTTTGTGGTTTGCAGCGGGTCCTGAACCATGGATACCAAGGGGAGACTGTATGTTTGGGCATTTTTTAAACCATGCGGATGGAATATTTCAGATCTACTGTACTTTTCAATCCAAACAAAAAAGCAATGCTTTTACTTCAGGGTGTTTGTCGGTTCTTGCAAACAAGCAGAGTTTAGGTAAGGCCCCATCCAGCAGCTCAAACAAGGTGGCGAAAGACCTGCTGTCCCTCCATCTATGCTTGGCTGCCCACAGACTAAGCTTTCTCAGCGTCCACATGGAGACTGCCCAGCCACAGTGAGTTATACCTGCTGGTGACAAAACAGCTGCTGTGGTTCCAGACCTCACATTCCCCCAGGGGACAAAAGCAACTTCTAAACCATGCCAAGATTCACCACCTCCAATTGGCCATGGGCGTGAGAGTCTTTAACAGTACCTAGTCCAGCCCCACCCCTGAATTTGGGGGACCTTAGACTCACGTGGACCTGCAGTGCCCAGGGCATTTCCTAAGAATCCTTTAATCCTCCTCTTAAGTCGATGAGGAAATTGGGGACAAGGCGAGGTCAATGGCTTGCCCAGGGCCACACAGCTGGGAAGTGCAGCCCCTGCCCAACCTTCCAGAGTGAGAGCCAGGTTTTTCCAATCCTGCTGGCCAACCCATCACCCAGGGTGTAACACTCCCAGCTCCCAGGCTGCGAGCCCTGATGAATGAAAGCGGAATGCCACCCACCCACCCATGGGCGCCCTGCATCGGGTGAGGAGGGCCGGTGGGACCGGCATTTTGCATTTGATGAAAACGCTCCCCTGCGAGAGGTCCAGTGAGATGCGGGTTCCTTGGACAAACAGGCTGTGGGTACCCGGCGCCGCGTGGTCACCCTGGGTGGTCCTCAGGGAGCCCACGGCCCAGGGGTCACCTGAGGTTCAGGGAGGTTAGACAATTGCCCAAGGGACAGAGACAGGATTCCACCCCAGGCCGCCAGGCTGCTAGGGCAGTGCCCTGGAGCACGCTGCTGAAGAAGCCACCCGGGACTCATCGCCGCAGCCAGGTGCGCCTCACTTGCCCATTCCCCGCCCGGTTCCCGCCCCGGGTCCTCTGGCCTCTGCCGCCCTCAGCCGAGCGCCCACCTGGAGAAGCAGCCCGGCAGGGAACAGGCCCCAGAGCCCTGACAGCAGGAGTGTCAGAGGGTGGGCGGGCCCAGGTGGCCCCTCTCCCTGCCCGCCCAGCAGGGGACAGGTGTGTACCCCCGGGTGCCTGGAACCCGGCTGCCAGATCCTCGTGGCGAATCTTGTTCAGCCCACCCCCCAGCAGCCGTATTCCTGCTCTGAACCCCGTCTTCCTCTCTCACCTCCTGCCTCCCTCCTAGAGGGACCCCAGATGGCCCTGGACCCACCCCGTAAGCATGACCTCCCTGTCTCCACGTCCTTAACTGCACACTCAGCAGCCTGCGTGGCTCCATTTAAGGTAACAAGCTCCCGCGTTGTGGGGAGCAGGACGTGGGCACGGTCGGGGGCGCGTCAGTCCGCCGCATTGCTAGACGTCCTCCGGTACCCAGACAGCCCCACCCCCGCGACACGGAGGTGTCTAGCCGGAGCGTCAGCAGTGCAATGCGGCTGCTGCCGTCACTGTCGCAAGACACGAGGATGAACGGGGCTTGGCTTCGCAGCCCTGCGCGTGTGCACCCTGAGCGTGACTTCGGGCAAGTCCCAGCACCTCTGAGCCTCAGTTTCCCCCTCTGTACAATGGGGCAGAGATCAGGCCAGCGCCTGCCGCATGGGAGCCCGCCGTTAGAAGTGAGGGAGATCCTGCCGACGTCGGGGCCCACCAACGGTGCTCCCGCGCCGGGGCGCTGGCCGGGGCTCCCTCGGTGGGCACGGCCTGGGCACCGCCTGGGCACCGCGCGCCGGGCGCCGAGTCCCCGCCGGCCGCGCCACCCTGCGGCCGCTCGCGCTGCGCTCTCCGCGTCCACAGCTTTGGGCCGAGCGCCACCTGCTGGCCGCGCGCCGCCTGGCACCCGCGCTCGGTGCAGGGCTGGTTCCCGATGGCTGGCCCTTCACAGGCCGCAGGTTAAGTTCCTGCACCGACCTCCCAGGGGGCCCTGCCAGCGCCCCAAAGCTGGGGCAAGGAGTGCAAACCCAGCACTCTGCAAGGGATGAGTTTCTACCCTCTCGGGGATCGCCCCCGCACACTGGGTACCCCCCTGCTGCAAGCCCCC